AGTTTGCTTTGTGTTTCTGTTGTGGCTGGTGGTGATGGTCGCAGTTTGCAAGAGGTGGCAACAATACTCTTCCTTTCTTCCTTTCTTCCTTTCTTCCTTTCTTCCTTTCTTCCTTTCTTCCTTTCTTCCTTTCTTCCTCAAAGAAGGCCATTGACCACTGTGCTTTTTTTCATCCAGTGGCTTCTTCGCTTGTGCCATTTTTTTCATCCAGTGGCTTCTCCGCTTGAGCAAGAACTGTAGCTTTTGCTGGCTGAATTGCTGAAAGGCATCTCATAAACCATCACTTGGCTTGACTTGAAAACTATAATTTTGCAGCTTCTGTGGCTATTACATGGAATGAATTGAGATCATTTTAACTCTGGGAACCTTGGTGTTGATACACAAATAGAAAAGATTTTCAATATCATGCCAAACCTTTTAGGATGAGATTGGACATACTAATTTAAAACAATATTTGCTTCAGAATACCTAAACATATAGGGCTCTTAGAGATAACTTCTACTCTTCTAGAAAAGAGCAAAAAAATCCCCAAACAAACTTTTGGCAATTGTCTTCTCATACATTTTGTATATCTGTAGGGTCATGATTTTTATAACATAAAAAAACTGCACTGAGAAAGATTTTTCCATTGATACAAGCAATTCTAGCAAGATTATCAACATTAGGTGTATTAATTAAATGCTTTAAGTGTTACAGAATTTACAGAAGATATCTTAGACAATTTAGAAAATTGCAGCTTCAGAATTGCTCAATGCAGCTTTCAGGATCACCGAGTTGATGCCCTGAAATCGCAGCTGCAATTTATTCTGTGCTATACACATTGTTCTTCATAGCAGCTTTGTCCCATGGAGCCGAGTGCTAAAAGCCTTTCTTAAAATGGCATTTTGTTTAAAATATTTCTGTGGTTCTCAAGTATGTCTCTAATAAAGAAAGACTCTCTTTTAAGACTGAAACATTTGAGTGCTGAGGAGGTAGGTATTCATGCTGCAAAAAAAATCCTTAGTGTGTTAAAGCAAAAAGACTGTTTAAAGCCCCCTTAATAAACTGATACATGTGCAAAGTTTAAGAGACGCAGATAGTCAGGGACTATTGCTTAAGTGTTGAGGCATAAGCAGAAGAATGAATGTATTTTTTGAACGTAGTTTGAGTTTTTGCAATGTTAATTATTGTAGTGTTCACATTGATTTAAAATAGTCTTAATAAGTGATATCTTATTACTGTAAAGTATTTAGTTGGAGGGAATCTAATTAATTAAATAGATAATATCAACTAATAATAGGCTCCAAGTGTTTCGTTTTTGGAAGGAGAGCTAGTAACTCATAAATATTTCTCAAAAGCAGATGGCATAGCATAAGACAGACACTGAAATCCATTAGCAGACAAGTGTTTCCATGATGCTCTTTCTGTTGACATCTGTACCCTATCACGTATTTCACATAACACCTGTGGTAACATACCTATTTTTCAGGCACATACAGAAGCAGATTTAAAACTTTGCTTAAGCTGAAGCCCGCGGGTGTTTTGCCATTGATGTTGGCTTAGACAACATTTCCGCTATTTTCTTTGCCTTCAGAAAAGGCTAAACATAGTCTCCTTTATGGTGATTTAATGCTATTAGTTTTGAACTAAATAGGATACACCTCCACAGACCTTTCTAGTAATGTCTCTGGAATAGGAATTATTGGGTCACAACTTGTTTAAAAATCTGATAATGGTTTTGTTGACTTGAATTTGGCTGTAATATGACAAAAAGCCAGCTAAGCTTAGCGATGCACCGAAATATTAAAATAGTGATAGAATAACCTAAGGAAAGGAAAGGATTTCCAAATTATGGGTTTATTTTTCAATCATATATACATAACACACACTATATTTTATTCTACAGTACACAACTTCTATCTGTAAGTTTTTGTTTACTACTAGTTTGGTGACTACTGAAGCTGTAGGAAAGGAGGTTTGGGGTTTTTTTTCCCAAACGTAAGTGGAATGCATTAGGAACAGCTTACAACAGCTTGGAACAGCTCCTTAATTCAGAACTGTGTTGGGTTTATATAATTTTAATCCTTAAATTTCATATGAGAGTTCTTCCATCTTTCTTTCCCTCTCTCCTTCCCCAAGTCTTGTGACATTTCATGGTTGTTTGTGAGTTTTTTGATTTTAAATAAATGTCAAAGTTCATTTTGGAAAAACTGTTTGGTTTTGCAGGTATACTCCATCCTCCCAACTCCGTAATCAAGAAGATGCAAAAGAATGGCTACGGTCCCATTCAGCAGGCGGACTTCAGGATACTGCTGGCAATTCTCCATTTTCATCTGGATCCAGCATAACATCACCCTCTGGAACTAGATTTAACTTCTCGCAGCTTGGTGAATAATTATCTGCTTGGATAATCATAGCAATACATTGTGTGTCTTGAAAATAGCATGTTACACAATATAATTTTCTTTCGGCAGCTCCGAGTCCCACATTCAACCTCAGGAAGCACTTTCATTGAAATGAGTGTGACTAATTAGCATTATTATCTCATATGCCCAAAGGTGGCATACTTGCAGTAACTCTTTGAAAACACTTCTTGTTGCCTACCTGTTTAGTAATACTGCTTTAAAATCCAAGCATATTACTATATGTGCAAGTCTCATCAGTTTAAGATATTTTATCTTTGTATGTATTTTTCGGGTGGCTTGTTGGAAGGTTGCATAAAGCTCAGTCTGAAATAATATATAAAAGTCAGAAGAATTTTAAGTCAGAAAAAATGCCATTCCTTCACTTAATTACATTGATAAAAGTAAACACTTTTTAAATTAAGGAAACAATAAAAGTTGATTGATAGGATCCATAAAGCATTGCAGTTGACCATATCAGCAGTTGAAATAACCTAATTTAAGGTGCTAGTAGTGCTCGTTTCTGGTGTGATGATTAAATATTACTTAGTTGCCTTTGCAATTTGTTTAGGTATGTAAATCAATCCTAACAGTATATTTATTGTCTTTAAGTTAAGTGACATTTGGAAAGTACTCTGTCGAACAGACGTTTTCTGTTTCTTTTTGACTTTCAGAAGCCCCTCCATCTTTTCTAGAACGGGAAAGAAGTAATACGCAAAATAGTTAAGCCTATGCTTGTGTTGTGTGAATTTGCAGCAGCTTACGCAGTCACTTATTTCTAGTGCAGTTTTGAGTTGCAGCAGTGACATTTTAGAGCCTTTCTTTGAGTGCGCTGAAAAGAAACAGATTAAATAAACAGCTTTAAATAAACTGACACTTAACAAAATTTCAGCTGAATATACACACAGTGTAATTACATTGCCAACAGCAAACAAACTGTCATGAAAGTTCATGGAAGTACCTTAATGGTCAAAAAAAAAAAAAAAAAGTTTAGTCTTAGGCCCAGAAAGTTAACTCTTTATAGAGAGTGTTGAAGATTATTTACATTAATAACCTTCAAAAGCTATTTGGCCACAAGCAATTAACAAAAAAAAAGAAGTTATTTTTCTGTGTTCTTAAGAGAAGAGCTTGGAGATATAGGAGTCAAAGGAGGTCACTGTGTTTAATTAAATAGCAAATCTTGGTGTGAAAGTTGAGCACCTTTAAACTGAATTATTGTATCTTCTATAATAGTCTGTATCAGTTGATGGTGTATATAGAAACAGGCAATGACAGCACACCAAGAGGAACCTGCCAGTTGAACAGCATTTTTGTTGTTCTCTTTTTTCCACAAATCAACTAGTTCTTAGTAAATAGCAGGTATAATTTTAGCACAAAAATTCTTTAAAAAAATGTGAAACCGGAGTAGACATTTTGTACTCTAAACACTGGCTGGGAGGGTATTGGCTTTTGAGGCAAAATTGATGTTTTGTAATTCTTGGGACTTCGTAGTGGAAGGAAACAATTCTGAAATATACAAGTATTAGGAAACTAAAGCTCTTAAAATTTGTGACTTAAATACATAGAAAAATGTCATTTTCTGAGAACCTGAAGGCTTTGAAGGAGATGGTTCTTGAGGCCTGTTTTATATAGGCAAAATACTAGTTTAAATTCCTTCGGGCATTTTAGTCCTTTTTGAGGAAGGACTGTTCGAAATTAAATGAGTGAGTTAGTTCACGCCTATGAGCGTTAGTGAGTTGACTGACCTTGTCTGTAGAAGCATAGACATATTACCTAGTGTTTAAAATTACCTTATTTACTTGAGTTTTTTTTATTCACTAGCTTGATTTGCATACCTCTTATTTGAATTCATTGAATTTAGAAAAATAATGAAGCCTGAAGAGGATGACATCAAAAATTTGTGTCTCAGGAAATTTTTTGGTAGTTGCACAAAAATTAGGTATGAAAATTTGTGGTCACGCACATAAATTGGTGTTTATTCTTCACTTTATAGCAAGCCCAACCACTGCAGCCCAGATGAGCCTGTCAAATCCAACCATGCTGCGGACCCACAGCCTTTCCAATGCAGATGGTCCTTATGACCCCTATAGTGATACGCGCTTCAGGAACAGCTCGATGTCCCTGGATGAGAAAAGCAGAACAATGAGCCGGTCTGGCTCTTTCCGCGATGGCTTTGAAGAAGGTCAGTAAAGTATGTGATGGTGCTGGAAATGATCAGAAGATGACATTCTCACATAAACCCAGTATAAATTTGCTGCTTTTTGGCTCAGCGTAGGCGTCATTTCAGAGCACAGTTCCCTCTGTGTGGAGCGCTCAGTGTTAGATAAAACTTCAGTCCCAGTCATCGTTCTTCTGATGATATTCATTCAGTGATCCTTCTAGCCAGACATAGGAAAGTATGTAAGTGTTGTGCCTAGACCGTCACTGTTCAGGAAATGATTTAAACGCATCCTGTGCTTCATTTTTAGTGATCTCAAAATGACTCTAGTTCACGCTTAGAGTTAGCGTATTAAAGTGTTTCCTTGAATAGGACTATTCTCCTGAACCTGGGCCTCCACACTTATGTTTGTGGTATAAATAATTGTTATCAGCCAGACTGTTGTTTCTATGCCAGTTAATTTTTCCAGTATTTAATATGTATTCAAATTGTCTTTACTTTTTATTTCTGCTCAATGTCCTGGGCTGCTATCACATAGCTTCCATAGAAGGGACTTGAGTAGTTCTTCAAAACATCTGGGTTCTTCTTTTTAATTCCTCGTCGTCTTTTCAAATATGTAATCATACCTGATAAAAGAAGCCCTTGTAAATATAAGAAGAAAAAGTCATTTACCTATAAATAAATATTTAGTTTGATTGCTACTGACCAAGCAACCTTATGGCTGTAGCAGGAGTAGCTGTGAGCACACGTTATACCCTCAAGTGTTGCACTTGGAGAAGTCAAGCATGGGGCGAGCTCTGGGAGCAGGTCATAGGAAGCTCTTTCAGCATTAGCTCTTTGAGTCTTAAATCTCCTTTCTGGTAAGGATTGGGAGCTTGGTTGGCTGTGGAGTACTTCATCACTACAGGTCACGCAAGCCTTTGCTGACTTAGTTCCTCCACTGCTGAAGACGTGCACTTACTCAGCACTGTTAATACCAGTGCCCCATTGTTGCTGCTCCCCTAGAGCCAGGCGTGCGTGGGAGCCATGCTTAAGTGCTTGTAGGGACCTTTAGGAGCCACAAGGTGCCTTCCTGGAGACACTGGTTATCCCATCTGTTTTCTGCTATTGGAAGGGGTGGAAAATGCGCATTGGATATGGCTCCAGCAACATTCAGGGCTAATTCGTTACTGAATTTAGCCAATTTGACTCCATTACATTTAATTGTATTTTAGAGGCCCATGGCTAAGGATCTTCATTAGGGGTTGAAAATTATTAGAATAACGCTGTAGGGCTGCAGACTGTGTCATTGCAGGAATTAACCTTTGTTTGTGCCATGCTCTCAGAAAGCTAGATGATCATGAACAGTCAAAGACTGCCTGATACTTAGTCAGTTGAATTCTGTTCTGAGATGAACAGTCCTGCCCTTGCTACAGAGTTCCTTAATACAATCTGTGAAGGAATTTAAATCACTTTATCTGTGTTATACTTAGATTTACCAAAAGAGCTACTGCAGCAAAACTTACTCAGGTTTTATTAAGACATCCTCAAAAAAATTGTAACCTTTTAAGTGTGCTTAAGATTGCAGCAAATCCATTTTGGCATGGTTGAGGTTAAACTCTCTCTTATAATTCAGAAATTCTTGTCCAGGAGAGAGGCTAGTTTGGAAGAATATTTAATAAGTATTACAAGTTTGAGGACAAACCATTTAAAAAAAAGGAGAAGGGAAGAGTTCGATGAAATGTTCTACAAAGTGCTTTTCATTCATTTAAAAAAAGTAATAAAAATTATGTCCAAGAAAACTCTACCAAGTTATGGACTTGAAAGCAGTGGAAAAAAATCACTTTTGTATACGAGGAGGGAATTTGACCCTACAGTGGACATGCTGAAGAAGTCCCCTACAGATTTTCCTAAATTTTTGGTACCTGAAAGGATAATAATATTTTACCAGATGGGATGAATGTTTAGGTGCAGTCTCTGTATTTTTGTCTTAAGGTTAAAGGTCTTCTGGCCGTACAGAAGGCAGGGATACCCTGCTTATTAGCTCCTGCTTATTTCTTAGGGAATCACAAGTTATAAGTGAGCAAGTGGTTCTGAATATGGCATATATATTGTCCTGTGCTTTCAAACCTGTGGATCCAATTCACCTTCACAGAATGAGGGAACAGATCAAAAAGTACGAATACATCATTCACCTTCACCTTGAGAGAATAGATCAAAAAGTATTATAGAAATTAAATTTGTAGTTAATGAACAAATTGATTTTATACAATGAAGCATAATTCCAGGTCTTAAGTAAAGCTTACCAATCTACTTCTTAATTATGTATTAGCACACAAGTTTACAAGACATTTTATTCTCATTAATTTCAGCGGGGCCAGGATTTATTCTTAAAAGCCTTATTTTCTTTTGTCTCCATAGTGTGAAGTACAGTCATGTTCTCTCACAGCACAGCATGTAGGTCGAAATGTTAGTCAGTCTTGCAGTACATAACCCTTTTGATAGGAAGGGTTTCAGGACTGGAGGGATGCCAGCAGGAACAGCCTCCAAACTACCCAGAACTTCAGGGGAAAAAACAGCCTAAAACTTAAGTGGTCTCTTGGCTATCCAGTTTCCCCGCTTCCCTGGCCATCAGTCTTGCCCAGGAGCTGTGCTGCCTCTGGCTCCACCCTGGTACCTCAACCTCCTAGAGAGAAAGAAATTAAATTCATTGTCGATGGGATATAAATTTTTATTCCTTTTTGTGCTACTGACTGCAATACCTGTTGTTCTTTCTGCTCTTTGGACAGTTGATCGCAGCTAGACTATTCCTTTTCTAACATAAAAAATGATACATGCTCGCATATGCATGTATAGTGCTTTAAAATAATAGCTCCAAAACAATTTGGGTTTGTAGCCTGCGTGCAGATGCATGTTAACTGCAAAACCCAGGAATCACATCAAGAGCATAACTGCCTTCGGGCTTCTAATTAAATAGCCTTAAAGTAGCCATCTGCAGATACTTTAAAAAGAAATTGCGCAAAAATATTAACTCCTTAGTTGTCCTTGAAACTAGAAATCTCAAACTAAAGAGACATTCAAATGATGCAATAGTGATGTTTTACAAGGCAGGAGTATGATTCCCAAAGTTATGTGTTCTTTCCCTTTTTTCATTTTGAGTCTTCTTTCCTCCTTTAAAGTCCTGATGTGATCTTAAAAATCCCAGTTGATGCTAACTCAAAAGTGCCCAATCCATTGTAAGGAGATCTCTTTCTTCTCTGGCCAGTTGGTAGGCTTGCTTTCTTGAATACATCTCTATTAGTAAAAACTGCATGAAGGAAGAATATAGAGAGGCAAACCAGAAAATAGTATTATATTCTCTGTATGAGTCCATTGGTGGCCTTGTGCAATATTGCCTGCGCTTTGGGCTTTCCATCTTAAAAAAGGTGATCCTAAGGGTAAAATGCAGATAAAAAGAAAAGCGATAAGGAGATCTTAAGTGCATAACATCTATGGTATGAAGAGAGTTAAAATAGATTAGGACTCTTCAGCTTGGAAAAACAATGTCTGAAGGGAGGTGATAATATATAATATAGTGCATTATAAAGAAGTTGGTTATCCGTTACTTCTCATATCACAGGGGTGTGGAGACACTCAAGGAACTTGTTGACTGATTCAGCAGCACGTCTAAAACAACTGCAAAGAATTCTGTTTCTAAAAACAAGAGTTTTTTGTTACAGACAAAATGTATCAGTGGATTCAGAAGTAGTTAAGCAAGTTAACGGTAGATAGGTCACAGCGACTATGAAAAATAGTGGTCTGACTGCAGTTTTCATCTCAGGAGTTTCCATCTCTGCTGATTCCCAGAAGATGCAAAGGTGTACCTGGCGAAAAATCACCGGCTATCTGCCTCCTCCTGGCATTCTTTTCCCTAAACCTGTGGTGTGGTTGCAGCCAGAGATGGAGCACACGATTAGACAGACCCTGGGTCTGACTCACGCTAGTTATTTTTATGTTCTTAATGCGGTACAGTCCTTAACATCTAACTATAAAGATCATTTTAATTGAAAATATGATTAACCAGAAAAACCAAATGGGTGTGAGTTTTTTTTACTTTCTTGTGGGTTTTTTAAATTGTCTTAAATTCCTCCAGAAGCCAACTTAGACTTTGTTTACTTCTCTTTCCAGCCTTGCCTTAGGATATAATGTCAATGGGAAAGCAGAGCCCATTTATTATGAATGTAGGAGAATTGCAGTAGGTAATTAGAGCAAAATGGCAGCTTTTCTAAACTTTTTTTTTTGCTGGAGGATTTAGATGAAAGAAAAAGTGATTTAACATGGTTTCATATGATTTGTATGAAGTTACCTAAAGTTTGAAGGAAAGTTTCAGTTAAATGTATTTTGTTTCTAAAAATAAAAGTAAAGGAAAGGTAATTTTGCATTTTTCAGTAGCAGAAAGAGTAGCTTCAGGTAGTTTTTTTATTAGCGTTATCAAAAATAAAATGATGTTACGTGTAAATCCTAACACCGGGGTGATGGTAACAACCTTGAGAATCAATGTATATGTCTATCTTACACAGAATATATATTCAATGCAAAAACTCCTTGAAACGGATTCTTTTCCAGAAAAAGCTTTGTAGCCATGTTTTCACTCTGGTAATTTTTCTATGAGAGAACGAACTTTGCCTTGTTAAAGAAATGTCATTTCTTTGAAGAAAGACCAAAAAACCTGCAGGGATAGGGAATGTTCAGCTCATCGATGCCCGTGATACAGTTCCCTTGTAGTCAGCAGGAGGAAGATACAGCTGCATCCAGAGGATGATTCAGAGCCCTAAAATTAGACAATGATTTCTGCCCTGGGTGCTCCACATCTTCTCCTGGAGCATCTGGTTACATACTGGAGCTGGGTATCATGGTCTTCTCAGGACATCTCCATCTTGGTCTGCTGCTTAAAGAAAACAACCCGCCCCCTCAATCTCATCTAAAACTGAAGATGAAGTACTTAGATTTACTTTTGTAATCTCTTCTGCATTTCAGTTAATTTGTTGGGGTTTTATCTTGAGTAAGCCCTTTTGCAGGAGTCTTAAGATAAGCTGTCCAGAGAAATATTTATTTCTGAACAAATCTTCATCAAAACTTTTCTTTTTAATCTTCTTGATAACACCTCATTTTCCCAAAAAACAAGTATTATTAAATTACTAAAACAGCTTTACCAAATCCAAGTGTATGGATTGTGTCACCTGGCCATGCATTCTTCAAACCGTACATTATTGGTGCAATAGTATAATTAAGTTTATGATGGATGATGAAATTTGTGAAAGTATTTCTTCAGTAGGCTGGTTGTTGGCAGTGGATGATCTATGGTGATTCCACTGTGGAATCTGTATTTATATTCATTGTGTTTATTTTCTTTCCTTTAGTGCATGGTTCTTCTCTCTCTTTGGTGTCCAGTACGTCATCTATTTATTCAACAGTGAGTATAATGAAAAGAACAATTTGGGATTGCTAATCAAAATTACTGAGTTGGCTGGTCTTATTGTGCTAATTGTTTTTGCCATTCAAGGAGGAGAGAAAAAAGCACTTTTCATTTGATTGTGTTCTGAATGCTAGCTACGAAAGAAATGTTTACATTCATAAAGATGTCTCTGGATATTTAGCAGTATCCTCACTAAACACAGACGTTAACGGCCTAAAAGTAGCAGTTTATTTTTTGAGTCAGTATTTTACAACTACATTAAATAAGTTTCGCTACAAAGGACCTCAGTAGATCTGAGGAGATTTGAACTTCATTACCAAAAGCACCCCAAAATTTGCTGAATAAAATCATTCCAGCCTTGTATTAATGATTTGCTACTAAAGAAGTTTGAGCAAGTTTTTTAATGCACAGATTTTAATAATTCTAAAGAAGCCGTTTGTTCACTATGCCAGTAATATTTTCTCCAAAAGTATGTGTTCATTTAGGTTATCTGATTCTAAAATAAGGCTCACTGCAGTTTGAAAATACAGTGTTTTTTTAAATGCATGTTGCATTTGCTTACTTTCTTCTAATAGTCTCACGAAGGATTTTCCATTTAAACATATACTATGGAAGACCTTGTAAGTTAAGACTATACCTGTGCTGTAATGGGGAGGTCAGGCTGCACCCTGTCTTGCCTCGGTTTTCTCTAGCTAATTGGGTGTTAACTGCAGCGACCCAGGGGCACAGCGGATTCCAGCCCACACAAGATTGTGCAGAAGTATTTGGCACTGATGGTTAATTCCCAGTGGCTTCTCTGCTGTGAATATCCAAGCTAGCCAGATTAAAGGTGGCTCATATATTCCTGGCACGCTATGATCACAGTTTTGGGGGTTTCTTGAAGCACAACCCTTTTAAAAAACAGTGGATAATAATTACGTCTGAAATAACGTGTTAATTGAACAGGATCTTCAATTTCAAGTTCTTATGCAAGTATGATGCATCTTCATCCTTACCACACATCCACAGCTGAAACAAGCATATGTGATACAAGAGTACGTGGAAGAACTTGCTCTTGGAAGTTCTTGTATAACTGTCTATGAAGTCTTGTCAAGCCAGAGTAGTGTTATTTAGCATTATTTCACATACATGTTTCACTATTAGGAAGCTAGATGTGTAACATGGCCTTAAGACCCTAATAATAAATTGAAAATACCGCCTTTCATTATTGACCTTGCCTGAAGCAAGGTCCATATGAAGCCGAAACAGATTGGAAGGATGGAAAACAGGCCTTTTCCTTTCGGCAGTTGTTTATAACCATGAGAGCCACAAGGAGAGTACTCGGCAGCTGCTGTCTAAGCTTCTGGTTTATGTGCTTGCTGCCCAAGAACAAGTGGCTCTTAATAGTGCGGTTTGATGGGTATAATTTTCATGGTGGCTAGTAGTGGACATGTTTACATAAGGACAGTGGAGTGTGTAACTTCCTACCATCATATACTTCTCTTTAGCTGGTAAATTTGGTTAGAAGCAAGTCATAGTAACCACAATTTTATCACGCAGACCACAACGGATGGTCAGTACATCCATTTTGCATCCTCAGATAACTAGTTGTGTGTCCTCAGCTTTTCATCACCACAGTGCCTAGGCAGCACCCAAGTGGGAGTAATTTTTTTTTTTCACATCACTTTGGAATGCACAAACGTGACCTCCATCCCATGGAGAGCTGAGCATGGGAGGAAGGGAATTGCTTAGGATCAGCCACGTTCTATGACGGTCCTGGCTCTTCAGAGCCTCATGCAGTCCCTTATGCAGGGAGGCAGGACTTCACCCTTCCACGGATTAGACTTGGAGGTGCACGGGTCGGCAGGCTGGGAAGTGGAGCCCAAATTCCTTCCTGCAGGAAGAAGTAGCGTACAAGCAGCCTGTTTTCTTGCTCCTGAAGAGTAAATAAATTGGGAGATTACCTTAGATTGAATACGGGTGTGGGAATCCAAAATAAGGAATTCATATTAGAGTTCTTGAAACACAAAAAAAAATTGAAAAATTTGATAAATTTGTCAGGCTAGTTATGTTGTAATATCCTCATGTATTTTCCTCTGTTTTTATTTTGTAGCCTGAAGAGAAGTGCCAGTCAGAGGTAAGAGCACATCGTGTTTGACAGGCATAAATGTTCTGTCGAGACACTCTGCATTTCGTGTCTTGCTATTTTATTTCTCCATATTATGGTGCAGTAAAGTGCTCTCTTAAAATATATAGATTCGCAAGCTACGAAGAGAGTTGGATGCATCCCAAGAAAAAGTGTCAGCTCTGACAACTCAGTTGACTGCCAATGTGAGTACAACTCGGAGAACAAACACTAATAGGGAATGCATTTAATGCACCAACTACCACCCCTGTTTTTCTAAGTGACCAAAAGGTTTCATGTGTCTAACACTCAGTTCACATTACCTATGTGTTTAAAAAAATAACTACATGTATGTGGGACCTTTCCAAAAATAACATCCTCTGTCCTACTGAATTGTCTTATGCTTTTCTTTAAATACTGAATTATAATATTCATTTGCTTTATATATATGTAAACCATCTTCAGATCTTGAGAAAATAATTGAAGACAGTGTCTTTTTTTATAAATAGCGTCGTGATGGGTGGGATGAGATACAGATGAAGGTTATAATCGGTAGGAATAAAAATTGTTGGAAACGTGGACTGAAATGCATTATACTTTGCTATCGCATAAAGATGTGGGCTAATGGCATGACAGGTAACAGTGGCCTAAGGGGCTCTGAGAACAAATTTACAGTTACGGAGTGGACATACCTGATTTTCACCAGTGTGGGCAATACTACTCCTTGTTTCCTCTGAGAAATTTGATGAGTAAGTAATGTAAAACACTTGGGAAAAAAAGATTTGGAAGCCAGGAGGTGCTGAGGCAACACTATGTATGACCCTGAGCAAGTTTATTTGTGTGTTCTGTGCTGTAGTCACAGATAGCAGAAATCTGCAAAACAGAAGCTTGCTGGAAAAGTAAGCAATTCTAGAGTAAATAAGCTACAGATGAATAGTCATCAGATTGGATCATACTGACATCCTAGTTTGTGGGAATGACTAAACATCAGAACACATGCTACTGAAGAGGATATTCCTGTCCATCAGCTCTCAGAATAGGTGGAATACGAAAAGTTGGCACAGTAAAGGACAGCTTTCATCTAAGCAGTAACACCTATCACAAGAAGGATTCAAGGGGAAGTCTACTGTGGTGTTCACTGCAGCCGTCAAAGTGCTTCATCCACCTTGCAAAATGGAAAAGGAAAACTAAGAACACAGTTAATAGAGAAGTCAAATAAAAGGGCTTTGACTGCATGTAACCGCTCAGTCACTTTGCCAAGAGGAAAAGAAAAAATTCTAAAAATCTTCCGAAAATTAAATCTTATGTTTGCCTTCCAAAGACAAAGAGGACTGGATACGTGAGTTGGGTTTTATCCAGAAGCTTCTTTTACATGTAGGAAAGTGAGAGCCAGATTCTCTTGCATACATTTTTTTAATCACGTTGTTAAATAACCCAGCTCGTGTCCTTCAAACAAAGAACTTTTCAGCTATGCAACTCATCTAGCTCTGCCTTGGTTTTGTTGCATTCTTCTTCATACGGTGTTCGGCTCCAGTAGGCTCACACAGGAGTCAGTAGCCTGGCTCCAAGAGCAGTGAGTAGCACAGGCTGCTGCGTGCCTGCCCAGCTGCCCTCCATTTGCCCAAGAATTTGTGTGTGGTTACTACAACTGTCTTTGCCGAGAATAGTTTTTAAGATATGCTGCTGCTGTACATTTTTATTTGGTTTGGGGTCGTTTGGGTTTTTTGTTGTTGTTGTTTTGGTGTGTGGCCGCCCCCTCCCCAAAAAAAAAAAAAAGTTAGCATCATTTATTTTGATAATACGCCGTTTTTGCTTCATTCACTTTGCTAAAATTTTGGGTTTTTTTATTCATGCTATTTAAACTTCTTAGACTTCAACCTGCCCCTGATTTGTCCATAAATCAGTTACAGTCTGCTGCAGAAATGATGCTATAGCTGTCCTAGTAATATATTTCGCTCTCTAGCCACCTCTTTTCAGAGAACATACTCTTTTTCCATGTAAAAGGCCAGGTCCGTTCCCAAAAAAGTTAAGACTAATAAATGCTGTTTGTTAAGACACTGCTTTATGGACATTTCCTTTACACAAGATTTTTTTTTTTAAAAAATGCTTTTAACTTAGGCAATTTGAATTCATCTGTTTATTTAATTTATTAATTTTTTCCTGAATTTTCCTGTATACACACTGCAGCTTTTGATGCTTCTCAGGCTGTCAGGGGCAAGAATTTTGGAAAGGTTTTGCTCCAGCTAGGAAGTGAAGATAACTATTTTCCATAGCTCACTGAACAGTTTCCAAAGAGGAGTAATTTAAAGGTGCCTGATCTGGTTTTGAAAGAGCAACTTTTTCTTAAGGTCAAAGAATTAAGGGTTCCTATCCCATTATTAATTCATGCAGTCCCACTTGCCCATTTATTTTTTGCTTTTGCAAAGTATTGCTGAGGGTTTGTGAATATCAGTTTTGTTATTCCCTGTTCGTCCTCCCCAACAGAAAGTTTGCAGTCTGTGTTTTTAAAATAAATATTTAGATTTTCAAACATGTGCAGTGTGAGGGTTTAAATTACTTTTTGCTATTTTCTCACAGTCTCAGCTCTGCTTATTTTCACAGGGGCTGATGGGAATGAGAGATGCACATCCCCGTGTTATTGTACTGCTCATGTTTGTTTTCATTGCGAATGTGAGAACAGTTATTTAGGATAAGTCAGCTGTGTGCTGATGATGAATAAGTCTGGAATAGCTCGGTGAAAGGTTTTGCTATTCTGTATATATTTAGGTGAGAGAATGTCCTTTTCCGCTTGGAGAGATTTTGCACAATTTTACTTGTCATCATGTGTATGGAATTATTTTTTAATAGATAAATAAAGTATTATTTGCTATGGTTAGTGTACATGATTATGGCTCATGAGACAAATATATATTGAACTATGCCTGTGTTCGGTTACATATGCAACTGCATATAGATCTATATATAGAGATTTACATGTATAACTATGCATAGATAGATAGATATACACGTATATCTATAAAACAATGCCATATCATGGCACTAAAATCATAGTACCTTTTTATCAAGTTTCTTTCCATTTTCTCAATCTACTTTTCCTTTCTTCCTTTTACTTCTCATTCTCAGTTCTTAGCTGATGTCCTTAATATAGTTGACATTGGGTTCTCAGTGCTTCATGGGAAAAGAAACAAGGGTAATTGGCCAAGCACCAGAAAGTTTTGGATGATATTTAGCACGTGGACCTCGGTTGCAAGCAAGGTGCACTCAAATATTGGAGAAGTCTTTGACTTAGATGCAGGTATATCAGCTGATAAAGCATCTGGCAGACTGGCTACAGTGCTGTCTCCACCCTCGGGCAGAGAAGGCGTCTCTGGACTGACCTGACTGACTTGGCTGTCAGAGTTCTCCCGTTGGTAGCACAGTGAGAATCTCCACCTCTGTGACTTCCAGTGTCTTTTTGCCTTAAGTATCCACAAGGAAAATAACGATGTAGTTGGAGGGAAGTTTCTGCCTGGCCTTCCTCTATCTAAAAACTTGCTTTGTATTTTATTTACTGTTTTCTATTTTATTTTACTTTTTAGGGTAGCCTCCTAAAACTTAGGAGTGACGTTTTGGGGTTTTTGGTACTCTCTGGAAAAAGATTTAAACTTTTTGTGAAAAGCTCTGTGGCAGGAGTTAACTACTTAACTGCTTGAGGGTACCTGAAGACTATCACTAAGTAACCTTTTACATGTTAATAATGGCCCATGTAAAAAGTCAAAGATTAAGTCTGATTTCAAAAGTGAACAGCAGGAAATGTTTAGAATCTCTCTACTTTTTATGATAGGAGGTCTTTACATGTCATTGCTTGCAATAGCCTGGGGACGTGGCTAGATAACCAAGGGCATCCTTCCATGCCTTTTTGGTATCAGGAATACTTTCAGGTGACAAGGTGTATTCCCTAAAGCATCCCTTAAAAGCCTCAGGTACTTAATCTGTGAGATGTTTCCAAAAAAAATTGAATCTGATATGTCTTTCTTTCAACAAAGTAGCGAAATGTGTTTCCTGTTTATCACAAACTCTAAGCAGCTTTAAACAACTGAGAAAAGTACCTGAACTGGATTAGTTTGAGATGTGGCTCTTCAAAGGACCTTAACTCCTAGGGACCCAGAAGGTGGTTTTGTTCTCGGATGTATTCTGGATTGCACATTTTACAGTATAAATGAGAATTCCAAACCAGAAAAAAATTCCGCTATTCTGCTCTGTTAGAGTATGTCTGAGGCAGCTGCCCTGGCTATTGAAATCGTGGTATCAAAGAAGTGGATGTAGCAGCTGACTGAGGAGCCACCTTCAGCAAATCTCCTACTGATGTACCAGGTCACACGTTACTCCTACGTCTGTGTTTTCTAAAGCGTTCGGTAGCAGCTGCTGCCGAGCAGGGCATGGTTTATAGCCTAAAACTGCATCATTTCATAGTGTGCTGCTAGTAGTAGTTGTACGTGAAAGGGCTCTCGTTTTCTAAGATTCTGAAATTGGTCTGTTACCTTTGGCATTTCTATTTTCCACAATTAAATTGTTCCTGGTAATTTGTTTGCAAACATTTTCACAACATATGCTCTACTCGTTTGACCTTTTCTAATCAGTGTTACTTTCTCCGTATCATTTACACAACAAACAATGCAATGCAGGAGGTGGTCCATTTAAATGCCTGCAGGAGCGTTCTTGTTTTGGGGGGGGAGAGAACAAACTACTTCTATATGGTTTAACTTCCAGGCTCACCTGGTGGCAGCATTTGAGCAGAGCCTGGGGAACATGACGATCAGACTGCAGAGCCTGACAATGACAGCGGAACAAAAGGCAAGCTTGAAAAGTATTTGGGGAAGCCTTAACTTCTGTTTCCAGCACTTGTTGCTCGTGCTCCTTCTGTAGTTGTTGAGGGGGGGAATCACATACACCGTTCACTTTAGTTTCCTCAATTGTGGTGATGGAGTAAAACATAAAAATTTTGTATAAAATACTTGTTTTCCTCACTGGGATGTTGTGACAACTGATCAGGTTATTCCTATAAATTGTTGCTTTGGACACAAGTCTTCAGTAGTGCATATTTTTGTAATAAATTTCTTCCCAATGCATCCACACATGTGCATGTTCAAAAGAAACACCAAGAAAAATCCTTGCAAGACAGGCAACATTGGGTTTTTAGACAGTATACTTGAATATCCATTATTTCTGTATTACAGAGCATGTACATTTTTTTGTATCATAACAACCAAGCTATTTTGCAGCCTACTGAGGGTGTGCTTTCCCAGGTATACCAAACCTCATTTTCGTCTCCTTGTACATATATATTCCATAACTTCTCTATCAACTGCCAATGCTCAGATTGAAATGTGGAGCAGTTAGATACCATCTGCATTTTCCAGTGTATCACTGTTTTTTTTTCTTATTCAAGGACTCAGAACTGAACGAGTTAAGGAAGACTATTGAACTACTGAAGAAGCAAAATGCTGCTGCCCAGGCTGCCATCAATGGAGTCATCAACACACCTGAGCTCAACTGCAAAGGTGAGAAGCAAGCACTACATTTAGCAACTGTGCGGTGCTCGTGGGACTTTAGACCTCTTGGTAATATCTGATGTAACCATCAGAGATCAGCTTTGTCTCATGACCGTGCTCTAGTTATTTGTTTTGGTATCGTGGGGATTTGAAATGGGTTGTGTAAATAGTGCGGGCAATTCTACAGAAGTAAATGGATGTGTTAGGCACATGAGAAGGCATTTTAACAAAGCTTTTCCACCTTCAATGTGAGCTCACTGAATTTACTATAAGCATTTAGTAATTCACCCATCTAGACACTGATGTGAAGCAGCAAGGAGCAGAGATCCCCATTTCAGAGCTGTCAGGCATTTGGCTTTATTTTCTTTGGTGTTTTCAGTAATCGCCAATATAGAGTCTGAATGCAGTCCTGTCTTATCTTACTGCTCTTACTTATCCCAGTAATTTACTCTTACATCAAATTTCTTACATAATTTTGACACCGCCTCCGTTCATATTCAGGACCTGGAGCTGCTCAACCCACAGACCTGCGGATCCGAAGGCAGCACTCTTCGGATAGCGTCTCCAGTATTAACAGTGCTACCAGTCACTCCAGTGTGGGAAGCAACATAGAGAGTGATTCAAAGAAAAAGAAGAGGAAGAACTGGGTGAGTGTATTTTAACAGATTGCGTGAGGTTTATATAAAATTGTCAGAACACGCATGGTGAAATCTAGCCGCTCGGCTCCTCCTTCCTCCCCTCATGCAACAGGTCAGCACAAGGACTGTGCACTGTTTAAATCCTGTGTAAACTCTCTTTTGAAGGCTTAATTGAGTCGTAAGTGATGTATATGCTTGTGTTGACTCTGCCTAGGATTGAATTTTAGCTTAACAGCCAAAAGGCCAGTCTTAAATTAGAAATAGTTGTCAAAGATCAATTCTGGCTAAAAGTAATATGATGTCCAACCCCTTAGGGAATACTCGATGTCTGTCATTAAAGTAAAACAAATCCACAATGAGAGATCATTCTGACTTTTTTTTTTTTCCTTTTTGGCTCTTAGGGCTTTCTTTTAAGTGAACATGTTAAACACTTTAAGAACTCTGTTTTGAACATTACCATGGAGTTCTACAACAAAAAAAGACCAATTTTTAAAAAATTTACTGTGGTGGATATTTATTTTGCAAGATTTTGCAATACTTACCTGTCATTTCCCATTCTTCCTTTTTTGCTCATCATGTACTGTGTACAAGGTACCCTGTACTGGAGGAAAGGTACATTATATTAAACTCCATTTTCAATTAGACCATAACTGCCTTAGTGACCTAGTCTGATTGTAGTGTGGACTAAAGTCCCTAGATCCTTTATTGTAGCCAGTAAAGCAATCCACCCCTTCCTTCCCACTGAATTTAAATCTCCCTGGATTTAAATTAAATTTATTAAATTGAATTTAAATCTCCCTGTACACCTTTTGGGTGTACAGATAAATCTCTATAGATACAAAATGTGGTTTGAGCTGGTAAAAGCTTGATTTGTATTTGCACAATAGCCTTTCAGAAATGTTTATGAAACTCCTGCACTGTAAGAAACAGCTTCCTGAGCAGGTTCTTGGTTTTATTTCTCTCTTATCCCGGTGGTTTCATTTTGATACTGTGCCAGCTCCTTCATAACAGCAGTATTTCCACTCTGCCCCTTAAATAATTTGGTTGAATGGAAACAATGTCATCTCCAAATCCTTCTTGTGCTGGGTTATATGTTAGTAATAGACAAAGTAAACTGCTGTAACTTTTAAATTGCTAGTGACTCGTAATTTGTGACACAAACCTTTTGTAATCATTAAGCCTTAGTTAAGATAAACACTTTTTAAATTTTTGCTTTAGCTTCTATTCTTTGTTGTTGTAACCTAGTAGATATCATCCTACATCAGCCTACACTTCTCATTCATCAGATGACTATTTTTGAAGAAGGTTAAGGAAACATCTCCTTATTATAAAGAGAAATAAATAAAGTTTTCATGAAGTAGAAGAAACAGGACAGAATTTTATGTTGTTATTAAAAATGAGTACATCACTGTTGTAACATGAAAATTGGAAATTAAATCAGTAATTTACTGAGAAAAATATATAAGTTGAGTCTGATTCTCACGTCGTTTATTCCAACAAATACTGAGAAAGTTCTCAGCCAAGATCTTTTTGTTATATATAGAAACAATGCAGCTGTCCATTCAGAGCTGAAACACCAGATTTTCAACATTTCTCACTGTAGGAGTCTTTTCCTAGTTTAAAAATAACTTTCAGCTCATATTAAGCCAGCCTGTTTACAACGTGTAATTTACGATAGTGTTAAACGGTGTTCATAGAGTATCCTGAGTTGGAAGGGACCCATGAGGATCACCAAGTGCAAACCCTGACTCCACACAGGGCAACCTAAAATTAAACCGTATATCTAAGAGCGTTGTCCAAATGCTTCTTGAACACTAACTGTTGAACTGTAACTTCAGGATAACATCAGTTTAATCATATGAATATTCATTCTTCTTGTTGTTTGGAAAATGGCAGTGACATTAAAAAAGGTTATTTTGGTTGCAGGTAGGTAGAGACGATTCAGTCTTTTCGCGTGGTGAAATACCTGTTCCTGCAAGGAAGAACACAACATTAGCTTGGCTGTTAGCCAAAACATTCTGTCTGAGCTAAGGAGAAAATATAATTTAAATAGTTAAGAGATTTGTTTCTGGTGTCTCCCTCAAGTAATGCAAAAAATGGCCGTATGTTGTTTGAAACACCTGGTTTTGGAAAATACAGGGTTCCAGTTTTAAAGTAACTGTTGGTCTTTGTTGATTATTGGTCACGTTTGTCTTAGAAATCCAAAGCTTTCCTTATCACTGGCTTTATCTGTTAAAACATGTCTTTTTTCCTTCCCCCACTTCCTTTCGCTTGCGCTTCTTCCGGCAGGTCAATGAGGTAAGGAAGACCTACTTTAAACTATGAGATACAAAGCTAACCCATCCATTTACATCACTAACCATTTCAGCATCATTAACCTTGTGTGAGCCACGTTACATTAGAGCTGCAAGTTGTTACGACATCGCTGCAAAGCTTGTTGCACTGAACAGAATTTGCTATAAAAGTTATCTTAAAAATAGGAAGCATTGATACCCAGTCCTATTGACCTTATTAATCTCATAAAATAGCTAAGGAAAAAAAGCTTTTTTATTCTTTTTTACCCATATTAAAATATATGTGAGTATGGCTGGATCATTTGGAGTATTTGCATGTTAGAGTTTTTACTCTGTGGCTTTTTTTGCCTGGTTTCATTCTTAATGATGTGCCTACTGTTGTGGTCTTGTTTTTTCAGTTACGCAGCTCCTTCAAGCAAGCTTTTGGTAAAAAGAAATCTCCCAAGTCAGCATCTTCTCACTCAGATATTGAGGAGATGACCGATTCTTCATTACCTTCTTCACCAAAGCTACCACACCATAACTCCACTGTTTCAACACCATTGCTGAGAGCTTCCCATTCCAATTCTCTGTAAGTGATTTCTTCAAATTTTTAAATATAAAATGGAGTGGAAAGCATCTTGCTGCATTGGTAGAGGAAAGGAGAAATATCACACCTTGGAGAGATCCAATGTTTTCCATGCTAGTTTTACAGAACATCTCTAGGCTACTTTACAGAAACAAACAGAGGCAAAATGTACCCTGCACTGTCCTGTCCCCTTTGGTTCCTCTGTCTAAGAATCTGCACATCTGTATGAGCACTACAAGAGTCTGAGAGCTGTTCAGTTACATGCACTGCTAAAACCAGCTGTTCACCATGAGGCCACAGCAGAAGACACAGTGGGCCAGACAGGGTTGTCCTGTAGATCAGGGCTGGTCTGTTGCCACTGATCAGTGCTACTCCCAAGCATCACTTACGTTATATCCCAGAGCGGGGCTGTGTTTTGGGTAAAATCCTTAACCCTGTCATACTGGCAAAAGAATGAGCAAAGATCACACTTTCAACTACTGCCTATTTTCAATGTTCTGTAGTCGAAGGAGATTACAGGCAGAGGACACAAAAGTTGAATTTACATATTCAAGGAAGATACGTAAGCTGTCTCCCAACCCAGTACCTTTGCATTAGTGTCCAGGAAGACAAAATCATTGCATCATTACTGTATTATAATTTAATATTTCATTGGGGTTCTCTCTCAGCAGAACATATTGAGCGTGAACAGTATTTATAATGAGGGTGACCTTGGAGTGCAGAATTAATTGGATCTCTTGCTGTTAATGAAACAAGCCAGGCAAAGTCTGGGGTTTTGTTTTCTCTGTTGGCTAAAGACAGCACATATTGTACTAATCTGCAATGATGGGTTCCCAATTAAGTTGACAAATTCAGATAAAGGTAAGGATTTACTGGAAATCAAACAGCGTGGTTTAGTGATACAGCTGAACTCATCTAACGGCTTGTGCCTGATGAATGGAGATGATCCACTCCTCGTTTCTTCTGTATCTCCCCAGCCACCTGTGCCTGGTCCTTCCCTTGCACAGGCTCTGCTACTTCTCAGACAACCCCACTGAGCCGATGCAACATGCTAAATTGTGTGAAAAATAATTTGACAGAAACACGAACAGTTTTTTTCCCCAGGTTGCTGGGTTGGCTCAGCTCGGGGGTCTGATCAGACTCTGATGAGCGCCAGAGCTGGCATAAGCATGGGGGCAAGACAGCAGCCCAGCCGGGAGCAGGCTGGGGAAAAGGAGTGAGAAACAAGTGTGTCCTTTGGGTAGTAGCAAGCTATTGTATAGGCTCATCTATAGGACCAAACCATACCCTTCTGCTTGTGTATGAGATGTGGACTTCAAAGTCAGGACTTCTGCTCTGCTGCTTAACTCATTTTGTGTTCATGGGAAGGTCACAGGCAGTCTTGATGCTTCATTCTGGCCACCTGTGAAATAAAATTAAATAATTGCGTTACTGCACTGTTTTGAGTCTAAACTCACATTTTGGAATGTGCTTGGAAAACTTTGTAAAACAGATTTTCTGTTAATTCTATCAGTAGCTTTGTCACTTGAGTAGGATAAATAAATACAGAAAGTTGTAAGAGGCAGTATTGTGAAACACAGAATTACCAGGCAGCCGTACGACCTTGTAGATGTCATGCAAAGCTTCCAGCCTGATTTCACATCAAATGCATTTGAGTAAGTACCCAAACTTGAAGTTTTGCCCATCACTTGTTTTCACATGAAGAGGTGAAAACAATAGCAATAGTTTCCAGCCGTATCATAACGATGAAATGTTAGTAGGAGAAGATAATCCCCCATGAATTTTTTTTAAAGCTTCTCCAGTCTCTTGAGCCTAACTCAGTGAGTTTTTGGTGACTACAGCAAATCGTGCTTTAGAAATCTAAGGCCAGAAAATTGTCAAATGATGATCCCGTCTATCGTCAGTCAAAATGCTATGTGCACATGTCTCATCTTGACATGAAAGCCAAAAGGCTAAACATGAGAAAAGAGTAAATATGCAAACTGAGGGAAGGCTAGAGCACAAGTAAAACTTGTGTGTTTTGGCTTATTGGCTTTTTGGTGGGGAAAACATCTCTCATTAACCTGATTTAGGGAGAAACATTTTAAATGAAATTTCTCTCAAAGCATGCAGCTGTGTAGTTGATCTTTATATAGATACATTTACGGATGTGCTGAAACGTTACTCACCCAGAATCTTTTTTTGTGGGAGGAGGGAAGAAAAACGCCACCAAAAATTTTTCAAGCATGAGTGCTTTAAAGCGAGCAGGAATTTATCACGCTTCAATAGGTGTAGACTTCTAAAGCCCTCCAGAACAGTTCAGGGAAACCCAGCTGTGCACACCTGGTGAGCTTTAAATCTGTCTGTAAACTCATCAATCTCCAACGAACTGCTGTTACTGCCTGCACCTCCTTAATTTATTTAGATTTTGGCTTTAGAAGTTTTCCTTTATGGCAACTACCATGAAAAAAATGAAGACTATCCAATAGTAGGTGACTTCCAGAACTCTGTTTCAGATGCTGATTAAAGAAAAACAACCCTCAGACATACTTACTTCACTAGTTTCTGATGTTTCCATGACCTATTTGATATCTGATTTATGGTATCACTAATCCAATAAGCCAAAACTGTTGCCTGCTTTCTGCAGAATAAAAGGGTTTTTTTCTCCCTTACTAATAAATGATGGAATAGCACTACCTGAAAAGTAACAAATGGTCTCGTTCAATGTCTATTTTTCAATCTTCCCCAGTATTTCTGAATGCACTGACAGTGAAGCTGAAACGGTCATGCAGTTACGAAATGAGCTAAGAGACAAGGAGATGAAGTTGACTGATATTCGTCTAGAAGCCCTTAGCTCCGCTCATCAGCTTGACCAGCTTCGGGAGGCGATGAACAGAATGCAGGTAAGAAATAACCACCCCAAATAATACAGTCTATTTTGATGTGTTAAAGGTTGGCCAACCTGCCACACAGTAAAGATCTGAAAGAAGGTAAATTTGAAGTTTTTGAATGCTTACTGAAAGTTATGTTTAGCTTTGTGCCAGTGTTAAACCTTGTACTTTCATTAAAAGTCAGCGTGCACACATGAATTCTGCTGCCTTCAACTCTGCAGCTGTAACTGTTTCAACCCTAGAAACCTATGGCGAGATCATTTTGTTGACTGTCAGCAACCTCTTAAAATGTTCCCAGGCTCTCTGCCTTCAAGTAGCTGCATTTCAGTGTTTAGTGAATTCCCACATGTTTATGTTTTCTAGGATACTTTGAAAAGTTTCATGGAAGGGATGTCGTAACAATTAAAATCATTACTTTATTAAAATATTATGAAAATGTCATTTCTGCTAAACTAGTGTTTATTCTTAAGTTACTCATGTTGCTCTCTTTTAAGTGTACGTTTTCACTGTGCCTTCTAACTCCTGACTTGTCTTTTCAAGAGTGAGATTGAAAAATTAAAAGCAGAAAATGATCGGCTGAAATCTGAAAACCACGGCAGCTGTAGCAGGGCTCAGTCTCAGGTTTCCATTTCATCCTCTCCAAGACATTCAGTGGGTCTCTCTCAACACAGTTTGAACCTCACGGAGTCAACCAGTCTCGGTGAGTTTAATGAGAAGGGCGGTGGGCAGGTTTTATCCTGCACTTGGAAGATTTGGTTTGGTTAGCCATGGAAAAATGAAAGCATGAAAATTATTAACAGTTGAGGTGTGGAAATATGTCAGGAGCTGGCATAAAACCTTCTTTTAAAATGTCGTCATAGGTCTGCTACACCCTAGATCGGAGTTGTCCAATTATGACCTCAGCTGCGAAGAGTCATGTTTAAAGCCATTTAATGGTGTACATTTGCCAGGGGATATATCTTAGGAAGGAAAATACAGAGTAACTGACTAATAATTTTCAACTACCTTCACTTTTTAAGAGTGATACTGATATTTGGTAGGGAAGTCAGTAAACCTGGTTCTTACGTTTTACCTCTGGGCACATGAAGCCCAGATGTGTTGCGTTTGACTACAACAGACGTGTTGGCGTAAACCAGAATAGTCTTCGGTGTTATTAAGATACAGCTGTGAAGCTGTTGATGGTTTCTGTTCGCAGACATGCTGTTAGATGACAGTGGAGATAGCTCTGCCCGGAAAGAAGGAGGCAGGCACGTCAAAATAGTTGTCAACTTTCAGGATGAGATGAAATGGAAGGAGGTGAGTTGTGTTTCATCCCCAGCTTTGAAATATAAGTGACTTTGGAAAGAGGCAGAGAACTCAAATGCAATTTGTTTTGGAGGCTTTTATTTGCAAAAGATTTTTTAAAGTTTTCTCTGCAAAATAGTTCATTGGTGTATCACTAGTGAGAGCCAAGGCACTAAGCCCCCACTTCCTTGGAACTGCTGAGAGCCAACGTCACCAGTTCAGGTTGTCTCATGGACTCACCTGCAATAGCTTTTTATTGTACAGTTTCTTGTTGCTGCCACCAGCATTGGCCGTGAACATGTCGGTAACACAGGATTGCTAGACTAGACCATGTGTCAGCGGTATAGGTGATAATGTTACCATTTAAGCCTTTCAGTAGTATCTCTGAAAACCAGACCACTCTTTCAGCGTCAAGCAGGTTAGCAGACTAGTGTGCACCTTGGGATAGCATCTGTTTAAGACTGATATGTTAAAAGCTGCACAAAGCTCTTGGACCTTTCTGTTAAACTTCAATAAAATTTTAACTAATAATGGAAACGATCCAATGTGTAGATAGAAGGTGCACCGAAATGCTATAAGCATTCCGCAAGAACTTAATGGATCCAAAGTGGGAGATCTTATCCTTCTAGTTCAAATTGTCCTCTCTGGTACAGGTTTCCCATTCTGAATGACATCTTTCAGATTTTCTTCATTCTTAAGTAATTGAAAGAATCCTAAATACACAAATAAATTTCGGATATTGTAAAACTTCAACCCACCTCATGTGTGTAATGCATGCATGAACGTACTACACAATCTTTACCAAGCACTGACTTTGCTATCTCACATTATGAGTACCTGTAAAAGTGTATTTAAGAAATAATTTGATGTCTCTTGTAAGGGGGGGACAAAAATTTGAATAATCGGAAATAAAATTGACTCAGCATATCTTTCCATTAAATACCAATTTTGCATTAATAAATTACAACCCTGGATATGCAAATTAACAGTAAAACTATATTGCTAATTCTATTGGACTCCACTGTGCTCACAGTCAGTAAAGTTACCGCATGGAAATGATTCCTTACATTTTAGTTGAACTTGAAGTCTTATGATAGGAATTAGTTTTTCTTCAATGAATGTTTCACAATGAGCACAGCTATAGAAGAATAGAAAAATGAGGTGGGTTCTATTTTTTTATCTGCCTTAGAAATCAGAAACAAAATTATCAACTAAAGTGCTGTGATATACCAAACATAAAACACAAATTGTTATATATACATGTATATATAAAACTCTCTCTATATATAACTATATATACATATAACCATGTATAATTTCTATATATATATTTAGATTTCTATGTCCATGGCAGCATTTCTAGAAGTAAATAGGATAAACCTTGCAAGTGCAACATATTTCATTGTGAAGTCATGGAAAAATGAACATGCGTGAAGTTTTCTGCCTAGAATTTTCCTACGTGTCCTTCTGTCTTTTGCTAAGCTGTAATCCTTTCAGAGGTTTTTTTAATTGTTCATGGATTGATTAATAAATACCTTTTACTTAACATCAGTACAACTGGAGTATCCTTTAGATTTGTGACTCCAACACTGTAGAAAATGTTTAGCAGAAAAGAAGGATTTCATATAGCGTCCAGAATTCACCATATAGAGTGGTAAAGATGCACCATAATTTTAAAAAAAAAAAAAAAAAAAAAAAAAAAAAAGGAAAAAAAAAGCGCCAGCATTTTAATTATGTTAAACAGACTTGTCTGATACAGTTAGGATTTATTTATTAACTTAAATTCACATTTCTGTGCATTAGGATTCGAGACCTCGCACCTTCCTCATAGGCTGCATCGGAGTCAGTGGCAAGACCAAATGGGATGTTCTGGATGGGGTTGTAAGACGGTTGTTTAAGGTGAGTGAGTACAATTTGCTGTGTGCTTGAACCCTCCTATTAGATTTCGATGGTACCAACCAATATTTAACTTGCTGTGATTATTACTATTATGGCATAGAACAAAGTCACAGAGATTTCAGTGCTGCCTAACTTTTCGTGTCCCTTTTTCACCCTAGGAGTATATCATTCACGTGGATCCTGTGAGCCAGTTGGGACTGAATTCAGACAGTGTTCTGGGCTACAGCATTGGAGAAATCAAACGCACTAATAGTGCAGAGACACCTGAGCTGTTGCCCTGTGGCTATCTAGTTGGAGAAAACAACACTATTTCAGTTACCATCAAAGGTAGTTGCGCTTGACCTGTCTGTTGTAGTTCTCACTAATTACAGTTTTATCACAGCTTGCTGTGTCAAGAAACTCAGAGGAGTAGAAACTTTTTATTGTGTTTCTTTTTCCCATCCCTGCCTTTTAGGTACTGGGCCTTCTGTTTTCATTTGATAAAGACAGCACTTACAGTATGCTAAGTCTATAAATTCAGCAAATTTTCAATCTTTAACAGTAGGAATAGTTACACACACAGCCGTCTTCTCCACATACCTTGAACTGATGTCTGGAGTTGTCCTGGAGAAGACCTCGTACCGCAAGGGACGTAGTGGAGTTGTTTGAGCAGCAAAGTACCTTCCAAATGAAAAAAGCCTCAGAATTTCATCACCTCTTTGTAACAGCTATAGTTGGTATTTCCTTCATGCAGAATAAAAAAAATTCTTGATTTAACTTGCTTGATTGGTCTCGCTGAAGAGTCCCTCCTTAGGCAGCAGTAAGGAGGGATCCCAGAATTCACGGGACACCTTAAAATCTGGATTTTTTCAAAATGTATGGTTTTCAGAATTCTCATCAATTTCATTATATCATACTGATAAGAACTGAAAAGCATTCATGGTTCTCGCATGGTTTCTCATTTGGTTTCTCAGGGAACCATTTTTATATGAAAACTATACTATGAAACTAGATTTGAGGGAAAAAATCCTCAACCGCTGTATTTTGAAGGTTACATCAGTTCGCTCGAAGTTATACCAGTGAAATCTCGAGCGTAGATCTGCATACAGACGGTAGAGTATTTGAGAGCATTGCCAAACACTCTGCAGCTCAACTTTGAAATTTGACTGTGGCATTTGACTGAAAGTAGTTTGATTTTTGAATATTGGTGTAAAAAATCAATTACCTTGGGTAGCAAATTAGCGGGCGGGAAGACAAAATAAGCCATGAAATATCTCGATTTTCTGAGGCTTGGTGTGAACCCAGGGTATTCTGCTTACTTAGAACACATTGTCCAATTGTAAATCCCAGCTGAAATACTGCTTAAGGTCTAGCCATATCTGTAAAGCTGCAATATGATTTTATATTTAACTTGCATTGGCTTGACTTGTACTTTGAAGGTTCATATGTGGTAACAGTTTTCAATAAAACAGAAATCTATTTAATCAATTTATGGAAAATTACTTACATATACCTTTGAGCTATAAAGCTGCCTATATAAATATTTAATATTCCAAATAACAATTGAGGTGCAAACATTTCTGTGTGTGATCTGCCAGCTTCCCTTTCTGCTGTTTATTTTGAAGCACTGTGTATTTTCCCTGAGCCAATTCTGCCTAAAGTGACTGCTGACATTGCGTAAATGCTTATCAGTAGGAGTTTTATGTTAGAAGAGATAACTATCGGCATACAGAGAAGGAGTTTAATTACAAGCGTTTGGGAAAGTAGGGGGAGTTGATGATAGCTGGGGTTTTTTTTGTCTAGTGATTCAAAAGTAAACAGGTAAATTCTGGATGAATGCGTACCGTACATGGCGAAATACTGCAAAATGGATGGTTTGTGGCCTGGAATTATTTGTATGGCAACTTTCATAGGGCCTTAGACGCTGTAGGATGCAGCCGAGTGACTGGCAGAGCTGAAGGAGGATCCAGGCTAAGCCCATAGGTCACTTCTGCACTTGTTTTACCAGCTTTATATGTGCTCCTCTCGACCACGAGAGGTACCAGAGTGGGGAAGGGATTTCTCTCTGAAGTGAGAAACAGCTTAGTCAGGTCACATCTAAATCTGTTGTTTCTAAGTGTTATTTTGGGGCTTTTTCCTACTATTACTGGGCCCAGGTAGATTCACAAAATCACATTTTTCAGTTCTCCGGTTTGATTATCTAGTCATTTCAACTAATCTTGATTTGTTCAAACCACTAACGGGATTGCTTTGCAGCATTAGAACTACTTAGTAAAAAAAAAAAAAAAATTTAAAAAATGCAGGTAATTTGGAAAAAAATTGGGAACCCCTCTAAACGAGGAATCTTTTCCTGTTGCAGGTGTCTGCGAGAACAGTTTGGACGGTCTGGTGTTTGAATCACTGATCCCAAAGCCTATCCTGCAGCGTTATGTCTCTCTTCTGATGGAACATAGACGGATTATCTTATCTGGCCCCAGTGGCACTGGTAAAACATACCTGGCAAACCGCCTGTCTGAGTATATGGTCCTTAGAGAGGGCAGGGAGTTGGCCGATGGCATTATTGCAACCTTCAACGTGGACCATAAATCCAGTAAGGTGAGGAAACAGAAATCATCCTTGCACAATTAATGCTACCATATATCAAAAATGAGAGACTCCTCCTTTATTAATCCATCAAAAGCTGATTTTAAACTTACCTTTCTTTTTAAAGCGTTATGTTAATCCTGAAGGGAATAATATTTAAGATTTTCAGAACTGCAGATTCACCTGAATCTGGCCCTGAAATAGCAGGCTTCCAGGTGTATATTTAAACACCTAAAGGTGTCATGATTTTCAAGTGGTTAGGAGCCTGAGAATTGCTGAGGAAGTTAAACACCTGCATAAAATTCCCAGCAACTTAAGCAATCCCTATTGCATGTGGGCATTTTTCCAAAAAAACCCTCAAGTGCATCTCTAGGCTGTCAAGAGTTTCTGCAGCTGCAAGTATCAGCAGTTGTAATCTGCATATGCTGGCTTTGGAGTGACTGTTGTCCAGACACATTCCTGCGCCGGTAAGGCATGTCTCTGCTTTTTTATATGCTGCTGGTTTTGCTGAATATACCTCCAGTGAACGTCTAGATTAAAGAAAAAAAAAAAAAAGCTGTATATTTGATGCCCTTAGGCACATTTTCCTCTGGAGGAAAGGGGTGGTTGAAATTGTGGTTGTAGGCCACTGGTATAATTTGAGACGTGCTATGGAATAAATGCTTTAAAGCTGCTGAGATCATTTCAGCCACACCCAGTCACCCAGCAGCAGCCCCGCAAGCCCATCCTTCTTTCACAGCGTTACTGAAGGCATCAGAATTTGGCCTCTCCGAATCTTTATTCCAGATTAATTTTATCAGCTGTATTTCGATAGACACGCAGTTGCAAGAAGATACAACAAACCTAGCTGGGACGCAAAGTTTGTTTTGGTGTATGGAGAGTTGAACAAGTTCCTGAAAAGAAAATAAAATAAAATAAAACATTTCAGACCTCTGAGTGTCAGATTAGGACAGCATGAATGAAAAAACACAAACCAAACAAGAACATCTTACCCCTCTTTCGGCCCTTATCTCACACAGGATTTCTGATGTAGTCTTTGAATCTTCAGCGTAACCTACAAAAGAGAAAGAAACCCATATTCTTCTGTTTTCTCATGGAAAATGTATGCATTTGTAAGATGGCAGGTTCTTTTGCTTTAGATTTCATGACAAAGCCAGTAGCTTACTTATCTTAACTGGATTTTCAAGGAATATGATGAAGAATCTCTTCCCCTCCCCCCCCTTTCTTTTTCTTTTCTTGATATATATGCTTTGCAGGAACTCCGCCAATACCTGTCCAACCTCGCAGACCAGTGTAACAGTGAAAATAACGCTGTGGATATGCCTCTTGTAATCATTTTGGATAATTTGCATCATGTTAGCTCCCTAGGAGAGATCTTTAATGGACTTCTAAACTGCAAGTACCACAAATGGTAAAGAAATAATATCAGAACACATTCCAAATTTCAATACTGCAGTCAGGCCACCGCCATCGCAAAATGTGATCACAAAACCAAACTCTAGATTGCTTTGGTAAAGTGGACTGAGATGGCCAGGCCGTCCGTATTATGGACAGCGCTTCAGAGGCTTTTGTCTTCGTAAAACGATCAATTCCTCTGAAATCAGTAATAAAGTAGTAGTAGAGGGTTTGGGTAATCTGCATTCACTTCATGCAGTAGACCTTCAATACTAAAACCCCATTTTTCGTGAAAGTTCCTGCTTTGAGATTTCTGTTTTGCTTTCAGAATTTGATGTTCTCAGAAGTCAGATTCTCAGTAGAGAATTTGGTTATAAGTAACTACAAAAACCTTCTTTGACAAAAGAGGTTTGAATAACCTTTTTTAATGTTAAGATCTTACTAAAAAGTTGTTTTTCAAAATTCACAAGTATGATTTGCTTGATTTTTTTTTTTTTTTTTTTTAATAGTCCGTATATTATTGGCACAATGAACCAAGCCACCTCCTCAACACCTAATCTTCAGCTTCACCATAATTTCAGGTACTGTTTATTCATGTTTCTTATTTATGTTTGTGGGCTGGCAAAGGAGTAATGGCTACTGAGTCATCTGAAATTGTTCTTATCAGCTGAAATAGCAAACTGAGAGAAAAATACCATTCGCTACTAGTTGCTGCCCTAACATGTGCAGCTTTGTTATGATGCTGTTATTAAAGTAACTGCGGTTCATAAAACTTTTCTTTTTCAGGGGGTTGTTCAGATATTTGATCCTCTAACAAATTTTAAATAAGATAATAGGCAAAGCAGATACTGAATGAGAAATAAGCTGAAACAATGCACAATACAAATTGTTTCATCTAGTGAACTCATCATTCCAAAATAATTTTTGCTAAGAAACATATGTGACTGGGATATCCCATGATAATCATCTAGAAATAATAAAAGAAATTTAGCTCAGAATAGCTATGTTCAGTAGTATGAAAGAGAAATAATGGACATTTCTGCTCTTCTGCCATAGATGGGTGCTGTGTGCTAACCACACTGAGCCAGTCAAAGGCTTCCTTGGCCGTTTCTTGAGAAGAAAACTAATTGAAACAGAGATCAGCGGCAGGATGAGAAATGCAGAGCTGGTTAAAATTATTGATTGGATTCCCAAGGTCTGGCAACATCTGAACAAATTCTTGGAGGCCCACAGCTCCTCTGATGTTACTATTGGTAAGTGCTCTGCCCATATGCCCAGGCATATGTAAACGTATGTATTTTATTTCCTTGTATATCAGGTGCATCCTTGTACGTTTCTTTGTGCTATATCAGGTAAAAAAGGTTTCTTTAAAACCCTAGTTTTAGATGGCAGTGTACTCTGAGGCAAACTGTACAAGAAGTTTCTAAACTTTTTTTTTTTTTTTTTTTACTTTTTCTAAGAAAAAAGGACTTCTTTCTAAGTCCTGGGTACAAACTGTGTTACGAAATCTGGTTAATTCTTTTCACCTTGAAGGCTGTAGTTTTTCAAGTTGATTCAGAGGATTTTTGAGCTCTCCGGAAGAGCAATTCACCAGGTCGCTACTTAGGTTCTCTCATCCTTGGCTTCTTTCTCCAGAGAATTGGAAGTTGTTGTTTGATCCTATTTTGAGGCGTATCACAATCATGATTTGAGTGTAATACCTGAATTTCCCTTTCCAGGTCCACGGCTCTTCCTCTCCTGTCCGATAGATGTAGATGGTTCTAGAGTTTGGTTTACTGACTTGTGGAACTACTCCATCATCCCGTATCTTCTGGAGGCAGTTAGAGAAGGGCTACAGGTGAGCAGGCAAAAGTGAAAAGTCATAGGTCTTGAATGGCATCGGGCAAAACTGAATAATGGCAACATTTTCTGTAAATACAACTTTGCACACTGAATACCTCGTATCTGTGAAAAGGTAGCCTAAATTGTCATTAATTTCAGGCAGAATTATTCTCTTCAAACGATTTTGAAATACGGAGTGGGAGCACTGAAAGTCCAGATTAGATTTTTTTTAAAGGTGTTTAGATGCCAAACTTCTGGTATTTTCAGTGGGGGGAGTTAGACACCCAAGTATCTTTCAATAATCTCTTCCAGAAGCACACCTTAAAAATTCTACTGTGCATCTGAAAAACGTGTTTGCAGTCGTTAACTTAGTTATGCAGGATTTTCCTTTGTAAATCAAATCTTTCAACAGAGGAGGAACGAAGCTGTGTATGGAGAGAAACATATTAATGAGTGACAGGATCGGTATCAGTGACATTTTGATTACTTCTCAGTCTACAGGATAGATTTTTTACTAGATTCCTTCATAATTCTTTCAGAGGCCATAGTGAAATAATCATTGATTGCCTGTACTTAGTAACTGATTCATACTCTAGCAATTTGGATAGTTTGAAGCATTACCACACAGTTCTTAGCGTCTCTATGACAATAAAGCATGTTGGAATCAGGAGGAGGGTTCAACAGAGGATTGCTATTGACTTGCCATGCAACTATGGAAAAAATGACCTTTTTTTATTCTTCAGTCCTCTGTTCACGGGATAAGCGTGGCGGCACAATATTTAAAAGACAGGTTTGGAGACAGTATAGTCAAATACCAGTAAATTCTGGGCATTGCATACATGAAAGCTAAACATGAGATCACACATACAGAAGTAAAAAGGTGGATCACAGTGACAGTCTGGAAGATTGAAAAAGGTAGATGGAGACTAGGAAATTACGGCAATGCATTGGGAGCTTGTGTTTCGGTAAGAGGACAAATGCCATTTTGAGGGCATAAGCTAGAATTACATCTGATAGAGGCAGGAAGAGAATAGTACTTCTGTATGTAAAAAGACTTACTAGAAAGATAAAGTGGAAAGGGTTCAGAAAAGAGCAGTGTAACCTAATGATACATTAAGATACAGGAAGCATTATTCAGTGAGAGAGATGAGAAGCTCAAACTATTCAGTATATTCAAGAGGAAGCTTAAATATTACTTGGTCTATGGGAGTCTTCTGTTTTAGTCTTACAGGGAAAAAAGGTCTAGTGGTTGGCTGGGAAATTTGGACTAGAAAAATTCAAACTATAAGCAAGACATGGCTTGTTGTTTGTAAGAATAATCAACAGTTGTGAAATTTTACTTACACAAGTAATAGGTTCTCCATCACATATGTCTCTGTGTCTGAAATCTTTCTGAAACGTGAAATAACTCCAAGTACGAGCTCCGTGGAGAACCAGTTGTGTTGCAGAATGGTTCCTTCATGTTTATGAAAAATATTTCTCTCCGTTCTGCTACTGCTTAGGGCTCACCATTGCAGTGTTTGTCAGGATGCCTTGCCATTAAGATATGTAAAAAAAGTGTGAAAGATTTCTTTTGGAAAATCCCAATCTTTCGGGATTTTGTTTTGATATGCTTGCTTGTTATGTTTCTTTTCTATGCAGTACCCTTTCTATATTAGAGGTTCAGTTCTCGTCTGCAGGGGAGTGCTCTGCAGAGAATGGAGAAATCGTGAAGATGCACCAGTCTGAATACTTGAAGAAGTACTTAAAAAAAAAAAAAAAAAAAAAAGGGGGATTTTACATTGTCCAGTTCACAACCACCTTGGGTTTCATTTGCTATCTATACAGCAGAGATTTATAGATATTAACAAAGAGAGAGATGAGACAACCCTGTCATAGAAAACAGCTTTTACTAATGGCTCCATACAATTCTATGAAATACATGAATTCTTCAACAAGTTTGTTCAGAATTTGTGCAAACTGTGTTTGCCATTTGAAATTTGTCAGTGCCTGGAGACCTCACTTTCTTTGAGACGATTGTGTTAAGCTCTTAGATGTGAGGAATACGATAGGTCCTAAAGTACAACACACACAGAGGAACTTTGCTAGAAATAGAACAGGAGAACCATTTTACATAAAACTTCCTGTAAAGGAAGGTAATGGAAGCCAATAATCTTTTTGACTTAAAACAAGTGAAAGGAGAGCGTGTGACTTTGTTTCCTCCCGGAAAGGAGAAAACTGATACAGTGATGCTTGGGCTCCTTGTACTGTGGTTTGAAGCTCTTCTATCGGCTGATCAGTAGGTGTGGAAAGCATTGAAAAATTAGTAACAGAAATGAAGAGAAAGAATAACAATTAATAAAACCATCTTTTTGCTTGCTTGTTTTGCCTGATATCTGCATCTTTCCTTAGGTTATTTGAATGGCTTGCGTTCCAAGCGTAAGGATTTCAGTTTCTCACTTTGTGCTGTAGATTCTGTATCCACTTCAGTCCCATTTCCCCAAATTCCGCTAATTCATTTCCATTTAAATAATTTCTCAATTTACTCTAGAATTTCTCTTTTGTTGAGTCTGTGGATAAGAATAAGAGTTCAGTACTTGAAGAGTAGCCAGCTGTGCTAATTAACATGCTAATCTAAATGTGTGTTTTATTTTGGGGTATTTTCTGTCCCCCACACCTACGAAGGCTCCTCTGAGAACACATCATCCCTCATGAAATAACCTGCCAGAAAGGAAGGGTGGACTGCTGATTTCACTCTCATCTCTGTGGATCTAAACTGAACTATTTTTATATGTCTGTTTCTCATTTAGAAAACTATTTTGGGTCAAAGACAAGTGAGCCAAATGGATCCTTACAATAATTGCTCCCATTGGAGCTGAGTTTTTTTGTTCTTCAAAACAGGGATGTGAAAATTAGAGGGTTGTATAAAACCCCAGTTCTTCCTGCTTGGTGTGTCGATACAGAATGCAGCACCAGCAAAAAGAAGACCCAAAATCCCCACGGCTTCCTGCCACTGTCACTCGTACTCCAGTTGTTCCTCTGTGGTGTTTTGTGAAGCAACCTGTTAGATTCTTGCCCCCTTAATTGCTCTTTAGAAAACGTGCGCGTGAAAGGGATGGACAGAACTGGTTGCTGTGGAAGGGAATAGTGAGTTAGTCATTCAGGCTCTCATCTGCTGAAGATGTGTGATGATTTCATATATTGAAATGGGAAATTTATTTATTAGCTAACTTCGAGAAATGAGCTAGGATCCACACGGCCCTTCTAGGTAAGGACACGTGAAAAATATAAAATCCTCTCCACTTAGCAACTGACATGTATTGCCGTAAATTCGAGAACAAGATTAAAATAGGAGATCTGGGTTACCACAGCTTGAAGGCATTGTGCTGGGAAAATAACATAGTACAGCTCAAGGATGAAGAGTATTTGGGTTGTGGAAGAGGCTGTGTTTGAGATTGCCTAGCACCATCTGCTGGGCACCTCTGCTCCGGGCTGGGACTCGCTCAGTTCTGCTTCAGAATAGAGCAGATGTTGGTATTTAGAGCAGTTTAGTACTTTGTGATTCATGCATGGCGTTTGGCTGCCATCCATGACAAAGCTTGCATTCACATCTATCATCTACTTTTCACTTAAATTTTAAGTTTCTTGTAACCGTTACAGGGAGGCTCTAGTCAAATCAAGGACTTACTCGGCGTGTGTAAATGAACACAGCCAAATTTTCAAAGAAAGGGATAGGCTGTGAACTACATGACATCATTTAGACTGGAAGCCGTTGTTATTCCGTAATATTGCCTAGGAATCTCTGTCAGAGTGCCATTCTGCCAGCACTTGCCCCATGGCTACCTGCAGAAACACTCTGCTGCCATGCAGGAAGATCAGATTTGGGTTCGTTAACTGTGCATCTAGATGAAGTCAGTCTTTTGCATTCTGGTTGGATGCAGCATTTTGGGGATCTGGTTGCACTGGAAGCAGTTGTTCGCTTCTGCGGTGCAAGAATGTTCCAGGGACTTCTGGCAAAGTGGAGAACGGCATTTAAAAGCTCAAAGGTTTGCTGTAACTGTTGCTGTGTGGCAATGAGGAGGTTAACAAAATGGGTGTGTGTAAAAAATAAAACTACAAAAAACCCAAGAAGAAATAGCAGTGAGGAAAGTGAGATAGTCTCAGATCCATCCCAGCGCTGGTGAATTTCTTTGTTAGACCACTGCTCTTCCCCCTGTGCGTTGTGCAGGAAAGGGAGAGTTCTCTGAATTCAAGTGACAAAATGCCAGTGAGAAACTCCAGTTGCTGAAGGATGTTTAGGCTGAAATTTATTAAGCAGAAGTAAACATTTTAACGTCACTTGAAGTTGTATTTGTGCTTTCGAAAGTCATGTGGCATTAAAAGGAATTAGTTATCTAATTAAGGCAAATTTAACCGAATATAACAGGAATGCATTGGGATTCAGTAACACAGTCTGTTCAAAACAGAAGAAGTTTTTGAGCTAGAGCTTGCTCACTTGAAATAGGAACATGAACAGAGGCAAATCCTGCTGGCGCTTTTTCTTGGTTGAGTGGAAGGAAATTCCCCTGACTTGAAAACCTTTTGCTGTGACATCCATCATTATTGCCTGGTGACAGGTCTCACGTTTCCTCCTATGCATTCCACTGACGGCGGTTTCACGCCGACAGCAAAAGATAAGGCAGCTGCTGGTGCGATCCTGATGTCAACACTGATGGCCTTTTTTGTGTATTGACTTTATTTAGATTTACTTTATTAAGTGAGGTTATTTTCAGGTCTGCCTTTCTTCAACTGGTGCCAACAGAAGGGCACTGCAGTCTCAAAGGAGGCGGTCAGCCTCTTCCAAATCAGTTGCCGTTAAAAACAGCTACAACTTTTGTATGTCATTAGGGTGAGGGAAATCTCATTTGTTTTTGTGCAGCCCTGCTTGCAAGTGTTTCTGCAATCCAAGGCTCACGGCACATTCATTTTGGTTAGGTAGGCACTGAATGAAATAGTAAACCAGTAGCAATGTTTTACACGTTTTTATGCTTTTCCAGTTGTATGGGAGGAGAGCGCCCTGGGAGGATCCTGCCAAATGGGTGATGGACACCTACCCCTGGGCGGCCACCCCGCAGCACCATGAGTGGCCTCCTCTGCTACAGCTGCGGCCTGAAGACGTGGGCTTTGACGGCTACTCCATGTCACGGGAAGGCTCGACCAGCAAACAAGTTCCAGTGAGTGATGCTGAAGGAGATCCTTTGGTAAGCTCTCATTTTTGAAACGGCAGAACTGCTTCGTTTCCCTTGTTTCTGGGGATTAGAAAAAGGAATAAAGAAGTAAAGGACAAGTGAGGAGTGATTTAAAAGTTTTAGAATGAGAAGGCAATGTTTCTGGGGAAGTCATCAGGTCAGCTCGGGGAATGCATTCGCACAGAAAACCCGTACAGTTTTGCAAGAAACAGCAGCAGAAGCTTTTCAGATTCATTTGTTGAGGATATTTTGAGGATTCATTTTTTGAGGAGTGACTGAGGGTGTGTGTAATAAACTTAATTTCTACACTGTGGAATTAAATATGTGATCTTGTTACACAGACTTGAATAACACAGTGGAACCATTTCATTTAGCCTGTTTTGCCACAATCACAAAATAGGCTTGTCGCTTTACTTCACATGGCTTTTAGAGCTGTATTCTTGACATCAAATGAAAATTGTGATTTTTCAAAGAATATATGAACTAATAGTCTCCATGACTGGTGTCTAATTTATGAATCAGAAATACCACACAAGCATATAGGAAATGTTAGCATGTATTTGTGTAGAATATATAAATTGAGCTTGAAGGTAACGCTAAATTCACATTTTCTTCCAACGGGAAACAGTTTTTGAAGCTGCTGTGCAGACTGAGTGACCTGAAGCTGTTCTGTTGAGGTGTACGTTTTTCTGGACAGTTGAGAGTATGGAATGTGTGGTACTAGCTCCTATATACATAAACAAATATCAAGCTAGATATTAGGACATTTGGATTTGCCTCTTTTGACTGATCTGTTGGTATTTCCGTAGGTCAGAGGAAGAGAGGGGCAGGATGCTTGCAGAATCCCATTGAGTACAGCTGTGGACTAATCCCTTCAATCCTCTCATTTTCAGCTTTACTGGAAAAGCATACTTTTTATGACTAACTTGCATGCTGCTGCAATATGATTTACAGTTAATATCTCCCTTCAGAGACTCAGTATTAATTACCCCGCTTGTTTCTTCCTTTACGTTGTTACCCACTGGCAAGCCACTGTAGCTTTCATATGCAGTTGATACTCTTTCTACCTTAGAATACAAATAATCGTGAACTTCTGTGCCTTTGCAGATGAACATGCTAATGAGATTGCAGGAAGCAGCCAACTACTCAAGTCCGCAGAGTTACGACAGTGACTCGAACAGCAACAGCCATCATGATGACATCCTCGACTCGTCTCTGGAGTCGACGTTGTGATCTTCCTCGGATAGAAATAGGTTGTTCCCGTTATCGCTCTCCCATTTGCCAAGAACCCTGATCACAGACTCATGAAAAGAACACGTTCCTGGGCTGGGCTGGGATCTCAGTATTAGAGCTGCAAGAACAAGAAGACACTTGGAGTCAGTCTTGAACCTGGGTGCAGGCAACCCAAGCGACCTTTGTATTGTTTGTCTTTTGAGGATGATGAGAACTGCACTAGTCCTTTGTTTTCTTCTGTTTAGTTGCTGTAAGCTCTCATGCCTAAGATACTGAAGATGTTAAAAATAATCATCATTACTAAAAGTTGAAGGGGCGGGGAGGGGAACTTCACAGCTATGAAGCAAACAGCTTTGTGCCATGTACTGTCCAGAAGGAGAGGGGAGAGGAAATTGTTGCCTATGCTGCTTCTGACCAAACACATTTAGGTGAGGGCTGGACTTTTACCAATCAGCTTTGCGGATTAAACTCAGCTTCATATAGTTCTGGTGCTATAACAATATCGCTTGCCTTGGTAATAATACTCAATAAAGGCAAAGCTGTAAACCAGGGAAGTTTGAATAAATATTAAAAAAAGAAAAAAGGGAAAAAAAAAAAAAAGAAAAAAAAAAAAGAAAAGAAAAAGCGCTGCTCTCCTTGCCAGTCTGAGACCTTGGCTTTCTTTCATTGTGTGTTTATAAAGATATATATATAAATAGGAATATATGAAAATATATATACAGTCTGAACAAATCAGGTTTTTTCAAACACTGTGTAACAATCAATCCTACTACAAGTGAAAGATCAGGTAGCCCTTTGCTAGTCAGGGCCTGATTCTCTTCCCACTCACATCCCCGTCACCGTGGTTGACTTCAGTGGCGTTGCAGCCGATTGATTTACACTGAGGAGAGCGAGTTTCCCTCCTCGGCAGAAGTCAGCGAAAGGGCCGTGCCCCGTGAAGTCCTGCAGCTCCCAAGACCTTCGGCAGTGCACAGGCGCTGCGAGCCCTGTACTCGGAGGTGAGCTACACCCCTGAAAAGGGATTTAATCGGACTTGCCGTTTTTAATTCTTGCCATGAAATGTTACAGCTGTTTTCTAAAAAACTTCGGGTTTTGTTCAGAGGTTTCGTTCCAATCAGCACAACCATAAATGGGTTAGTTAAAACTCAGCTCTGTGACAGTTCCAGTGCTACTCTGGTGACAACATTTACTTCCACAACTTTTCTTTTTAACTGCAAAAAAAAAAAAAAAGTATTTTTGCAGTATTCAGGTCTAGGAAAAAAGGAGGGAAGGTACTGCGTCTTTTAAGTTCAGCTGGGCCATGCTTTTGAGTTTTGGCAGAGCTGTGAACCTGGTTTTGTTTCTCCTCCTCTCTGAACGCACACCTACACTATCAGTGTTAAGGCTTGTACTTCTGTTGGGGAACAAGAACACCTCGCAAAGAATTGCACTTTCCTTTTTACGGAAGCAAACGCTTACACCACCATCACCACAACGTCAGCTGTACCTCAGCAAAAACGTCGCTCCTCAATATTGATTTGTACGAGCCTTTCCAGCTATCTTTTGGTGCTGACTTTTAAAGCGATGCCTTATTTTGTACTAATTGTGTTTGATTAAATTAGTGCTGTATATTATGGGATTTTATTTAAAGAAACAGGGCTAAAGTCATCTCTTGGAATATCATAAGTTGCTGTGAATATTGTTTGTATGAGATACTAGAATTTGTTTAAATGTGACAAAAAAGGAGGGAAATGAGATAACTTTTCAGGTTCATATCAATCGCAGCTAATAAACCACTGAAGAGCTGTTTTATCCATGCAGGAGCGGGAAAAAAAAGGAAGCTTTTCAACTATAATAAATGCTGTCATTAATAAATTACAGGAATATGCTGGTTTTTCAGTGTACAGAAAAAACTTACTACAAACACTTTTTTAAGAGCTTGTGGGTTTAAAGTAATATAACAGACAAGTTCATGCTTCAGTGACTGAGCTTGAGAGGATCGTTTATTATACCTCATGACTTTCTGTAACATAACTGTACTTTGTCTTACTGAGCTGGTCTTGAATCTGCTCCTGTTACAACTTTCAAGTGCTGATGACTTTTTTTTTTTTTTAAAAGAAAAATATTGTAAAAGAAAAATTTTAATATTTTAATGATGGGGGGGAAGAGCTTGGTGGTGTTACTGTTTTAACATTATGAACTGTATTTCATTATTTCACTGAATGAAATAGCAAGGGTTACTCAGCCAATCCAGTTACTGTTCCTAATCCAGTTCTTGGTACTGTAAAAATGGGATAAATCTGTATGGCATCAAATACATAGCATGCTGATTATGAGTTTGAGAGAGGTTAATTTTTCCAGGAGTCTTGACAATTCTGCTTCCCAGCACTGACTTTACCTGCTACTACTGTGAATTTTGGTACCTAATCCCCCAACTGAATCCGTGCAAATAGAGCATGTGCCTGTAAAAAAATCCAGTTGCAGGGCTAGGGCTTTAAACAGACTTAATATCCTAGAAAGTTTCTCAGTTAACCTTTAACTGAGTGCTATATGATTATAGACATGATTAAAATGGTGTTTTATTTGTGGAGAATGGGGTATTTTTCTCATTTTTAATCCTGTGCTTAAGCTCAGGAAATTTCTGTTATCTATTATTTTTTATTGACGCTAGCTTGGATTACAGTGAGAGGCAATTTTGAGTAGGCTAGTCATTCTAAGCATCACAATATTCAGTGTCTTTTCTGAAACTTCGGGAAGCAGGGTTACCTGTTGTGCACACGTCTTAGTTTTTATGAAGACTTTTCATAGATTAAGTCTTTCTTCAAGTGACTTTGTTCTCATTTAAAGCTTTTTCAAAATGCTTTTTTTTTTTTTTTTTTGCCTTTTTTTCCTTACAAACTTGGCTTGTTTAAAAAAATAAAAAATCAACAAGAAAGAAATGCAAGATTCTATGCAACATTCATGTTGAGTTATAAATTGAAAGTATAAACAATTTTCTTTCCTTCAGAACTGCCAAGAATGATACAGGCCATAAATGAGATGTGGTTTATTTGGGGAAGGGGAGGGAGGGTGTTGGTTAGCCTTTTTGTACATTTTGGAAGAAGCAAACTGATATTTCATTGTTGATGCTTAACTTCGATATTACGTGTATGAAATCTTGTCTAAATGTGGCAATTTTCTTTCAAGAAAAAAAAAAACACAAAAACAAAGCAAAAAAAATCTTTCTTTGTTGATATTAAATGGAAGGTTGCTGTTTTGATCTAGTCGTTTCCAGTGGAACAGTTTATGAAATATGTTCTATAAGATGTACATTTTTTCATTGTAACATAGAAATGTAAATATTTGATTAAAAGTGCTGCATTTTGATGAATTTTTTCTAGCCATTTTTAAAGAGAAAAACTAGGAATTGAGTATTTTGTGTACGTTTATGATGTTTTCCATTTGCTCCTCTCCCTATTTAATTTTCAGTTCTCATTTAGGATTGGAATTTGTGAATGGTCTGTTTGAGATCATGCCTCCCCTTTCTCACCCTCCCCGTTTCTCCCCCTTCCCCGTCCCATGTGTCATGGAGAATAAAGCTGATGATTGTACCAGTCTTAAATTATTCATGATTCAATAAAATTGATGCTTATTTATTCAGATTTGTGGCTTCCCAGAACTTTTTCTCCCTTCTTAATCAACATTTTCTATTTTTTTATTTGAAGATTGTGGGGTTCAGTTCTTGTTTTTATTGGCTTCTTATAAGTACTTGTGAAAAGATGCCAACAGCCCTTACCGACATCCAGGAGGAAATTTAGCAGAGGGACGACACCAATACGATTCTTTCCCATAGCTAATGTTTGCACGCAGCATCCGTCAAGATCTGCTCAAGGCAAGACTGGTCTATCCATTTGGAGCGTCTTGCAAAATGAACTTCATAGAATCATAGAGTGGTTTGGGCTGGAAGGGACCCTTAAAGGTAATCCAGTCCAACCCCCCTGCCATGGGCAGGGACATCTTCAACTAATCAGGTTGCTCAGAGCCGTGTCCAGCCTGACCTTGAATGTTTCCAGGGATGGGGAACTTCTAGGAGTACTTAACTTGGTGACCCTGGGCAGATCAGACTGCTCACTTACAATAAAACCATGGCATTTTTTTCATTTGCAGAAAAAACACGACAATTTTTGTGGTGACTTTGCAAAGGCAGAGTATCGTTGGCACCACTTTCATCTCCAAGGCGAGCTCTAGACTGTGTGTGTGCCCCAGCATAAGTATGAGCCCATCTGCAGGTCTCCACTTGCTCTGGTAGGTCTTTCAAACTTTTTTCATTCTCATCTCCAGGAGTTGATTTAAAGGAAGGAAACTTCAGAGCATTAAGGAACTCAGTTCCACACATTATTAGTTTCCTCTTCACTGATTTGATAGAGACACTGTGATAATATAGTAATAAATTTATGTTGGTCAGTAAGAACACGTAGGGATCTATTCTCCTTTCTGGTTTTCCTTAGGATGGGGATTTAGCGTTTCACAAGCCTCAGCCTGCACTGGTTGCTTCTGGAAACTATGGCCTTGCATCTCGGGCTCTATTTCTGTAAGATGATTGTAATGTTCAAACTTCCCTGGAGGGCAGGTGTTCTGCAAAAGAGGCAATTTAATTTTTTTTTCTTTTTTTTTTTTTTGGCTCAACTGTGGCATTCTCAAGCTCTGCGGTACTGAAACACGGGGCGGCTGGCGAGGATTTTTTGCTTGCTGTTGTTAGAAAAGACAGTGTTTCATACAGATGGGATAAACATGCTTTCCTGCATATAGTGTTACCATCTGTAGCTTGTTAGATGATTTCTACACCATGGGTAGGTGTTTTTCCAACGGGCACACAGCAGCATTGGCACAGCGCTGCGGTCCGGGGCTGTGCAGGAGGCTGCCTTCCCTGTCTGCCCCGGCTGTGGCACAGGTGAAAATGCTGCCGGCTCCCCCAGCTTGCGCGGGGTGCTGAGCGAGCAGCCCTGCAGCCGGGGAGGGGGACGGGAGGGGTGCCACCGCCGGGTCCCC